GTCCATGGCTTTGGGCCCGGGGACAGATTCTCCGAAGACGGAGGAGGCTAGAACCTCACCCGCCCCTGGACCAGGTACCCCCACCAGGACCCCTTCCAGAACAGTTCCTGGGGTTCTGACCGCCAAACCCCCGCTTGCCCCCAAGCCGGGAACCACAGCTGCCTCAGGAGTGACCGCGCGGGTTGCAGCAGTGACAGCAGGACAGGTGACAAGTGGACATGAAGCTGCAGCAGCAACATCAGCATCAACTGCACAGGCTCCAGAGGACCCCTCAGGGTCTGGCACAGGCCCTTCAGGAACTTGTGAGGCTCTGGTAACTGTCGTGACGGTCACCCCAGCTCCGGAGCCTGCTGAAAACTCTCAGGACCTAGGCTCCACGTCCAGCCTGGGACCTGGCATCTCTGGGCCTCGAGGGCAGGCCCCGGACACTCTGAGCTACTTGGACTCTGTAAGCCTCATGTCTGGGACCTTGGAGTCCTTGGCAGATGATGTGAGCTCCATGGGCTCAGACTCGGAGATAAATGGGCTGGCCCTTCGCAAGACGGACAAGTATGGCTTCCTTGGGGGCAGCCAGTATTCGGGCAGTCTGTGAGTACCCAGTGGGCACCCCGTGGGGCTTCAGGGAAGCAGAGGTTGGGGAGGAGGAAATGATACACCTTGCCCAGATCCTGGCAGCTCAGCCTCCTCCAAGGCTCCAGGGGAGTGGCTCCAGCAGGAGTGAGCTACTTGGTGATCCCTGTCCTGCCTAGAGCATCCTGAGGTTTTGGTGGCACTTGCATGTTAGAGTTTCAGGCTAGGTGTCAGGACTTCTGGGTTTGAGCTTTGCTCTTAGTGTGTTGTGTGCCCCTGAGCTAGTGTTTTCCCTATTTCTGTGTCTCAGTTTCCATCTCTATATAGTGAAAGGTTGAATGAGGTGATACTTAAGGTCGTCCCAGCTCCTTGATGTGAAAAACTCCAGCTGTGGGTCAGATATTCTGGAGGGTTGGCTGGGCAGGGATTCTGGTAGAGATATTTGGTCCCTGAAAGGGAAGGAGTCTGGGAGGGATGCAGTCATCTTCCCTCCCCCATAGCCCTAGGTCTGATGGGATGATGAGCTGGGGGAGGCCTGGTCGGTAGAGGGGAGACCGTGAGGGTAAGGCTCCTCTGCGAAACAGAGAAGGGCAATCTTGTGTTTTTACTGAAGGAAGGGGTTGGGGGAGGCCTCTTCCCCATTTCCTCATCTCCCCAGCCGGGCTTACTCTTTCCTAGTTCCCTCCAGGGGCCTGAGTCACTCCTGATGTGGGGGTGTGATTGCCTCTGACTTCTTCCTTCCCTCTCTCTGGGAAGGATCCTGCCCATTGTTCATGTACCGCTTTAACCTGCTGGTCAGTTCAACCTACAGCATCACCTGAGCACCCAGGTGCCAGGCCCTGTGCTAGGTACTAGGGATAAAATAGTTGTTTCAAGGCACTCGTTGTCAAAAGGGAGAAACAAATACTTAAACAATTGATGTCAATGTATTTTAGGTTTAGCCTAGAGATCCTCACAGGATTTTGTGAGTACTAGGGAAGGGACCTTTTGCCCACTCAGAATTCAACTGAGTCTGTTCCAAATCCTGAAGAATGAGTAGGATTTAGTCTAATCGTGTTATGTGTGTTGGGGTGGGGGGCACCTGCCTGGAGTTGGGGAAAACACTGTGGGAAGGTATTCTAGGTGTTTTATAATCCAACAAAAAACAGAAAACCTTTGATTGAGCACCAACATTCATGGTCCTAGGAAGGCAACTGAAGTTTGACCTTGGTGTTTTCCCATGCTGGAGGGATGCACTGTTGTACCCAATGTATAGGTGAAGAAACAGGATTAGAGCAGCTGAGTGACTTGCCCCACTCACACCTGGATCTGTGTGACCAGTGGCTTTCTCCTCAATACTCTGCTGCCCTAAGGAACTTGGATTGAATTGGATTTCAGTGAGCCCCTCTTGTGTGCCAGGCACGTTGCTCGATTATGTTTCTCTGCTTTGTAATTTTGTCCCTCTAAAATCTATCTTCCATGCTGGAAGAACATACTTCTGAGGCCAGGCTGACTGGGGCACATGTTACCTTAAAAACTTATGGTAGCTCTCCCCTGGCCACAGGATAAAGTCCCATGTGCTTTATTCTGCAGATGGACTCCTTATTTTCTGCCTTTGCCAGTCTTTCTGGTCTTCTCTCCCACCACTTCTCACCATGCACTTAATACTGTGGTCCTGTTGAACTGATTGTAGTCTCTCCCCCTTGATACTCAGGCTGTTCCACCTGCCAGGAATGCCTTTCTCCTCCTTCTTGTCTTGGTATGTTCTACTCAGTCCCTCCTGGCTTATAATGAAGATGTCTCCTCCTCTAGGAAGCCTTTCCTGATATCCACTGCCCCTACTCCAGTCAGTGCCTCTCCTGTGCGTTTTTGTTATTGCATTTCCCACACCACATTGCAGTTATCTCCCCTGCAAGCTTGTGACCTTCTTGAGGGCAGGAAAGATATTACCTCATTCTTCCTGATCCTTAGTAGGGTTTGGAACCAACTTATGATAGAAATTAATGAGCAATGATGGGCGCCTGGGTAGCTCAGTTGGTTAAGCGTCTGACTTTGGCTCAGGTCATGATCTTGAGGTTCGTGAGTTTGAGCCCTGTGTCAGGCTCTCTGCTGACAGCTTGGAGCCTGGAGCCTGCTTCAGATTCTGTGTCTCCCTCTCTCTCTGCCCCTTCCCTGCTCACGCTCTGTCTCTCTCTCTCAAAAATACATAATAAATATTTTTAAAATATTAATGAGCAATGATTAAGTGGTTCTAAGACAAAAGAAACTAATAGTTAATGAGCCCATCCATTTGCCAGTCCTTTATATACAGTTTCTCAGTAGTTCTCTCATACCTTTGTGATGTAGGTGGTGGCATCCCTTTTTGACAGATGAGGAAGAGATTCAGGTTATCACTTGCCAAGATTTCCCAATTTCTAATGGACAGAACTGGGATTTGAGCTCAGGTTGGTCTGGAAATTCAAGCGCTTTCTTCCATTCCACTCATTTCCTGGTACTGGCTCCTACAAGTAACTGTTTCAAGACTCCTGGGGTATCTTGAGTGGGAAGCTGTGACAGAACAATGGGCAAACAGTGCAAGGAAAGCTTCATTTGCTTGAGAATCTCGCGTGACTTCAGGAAGGAGGTAGAGGGAATTGCAGGTGGCCCAGGGGACCTCAAGAGTCTGATAGGAGGAAACTCAGTTGCTTCTAAGGAGGCAGAGAAGTATATTTATATTTGTTCTGTATTCTGTTTTATGGATAACAATTGCTCTTACTGAGCACTTGCTATTATATAACCTCTCAAGTAGATCCTATTTTTTTCTCCACCTTACAAATGAGGAAATCGAGGCTTAGAGGAATTCTGTGACTTGCCCAAGGTCACACAATGAGTAAGTGGTAAAGCTAGAACTTGGACCCAGGTCTAATGCAAACTGTGGCTTTTAAATATTCTGTACCCTCTCCCCAAACTTGTATGTGCCATAAGCAGGATTTGAACACACCCAACATGTACAGAGATCTAACATGAGAACACCATCTCTGTACAGAGATTCCTTCCAAGGGAAGAAGTCCTTTCAGTATGGTGAACTAGGCCCTTCGATGGCTAAGTGGCCACATACCCTGATATTTGGTAGCTCACAAAATGCTTTTACATCCAGTCTCTCATTTGAGCCTGGGGAGGTGGGTGGCTTGCTTCAGTTCCGCCAGCAATCCATGTTTTATACCACTGCTATTGACCCTTTCCATGCTTTCTTCATCCTGCAGAGAGAGCTCCATTCCTGTAGATGTGGCTCGGCAGCGGGAACTCAAATGGCTGGAGATGTTCAGTAACTGGGATAAGTGGCTGTCACGGCGTTTCCAGAAGGTTTGGAAGGCTGACTGGTGGGCAGGGCAATGGACAAGTTGGGAGGGGGTTAGGGAGAGCTCATATACTCCAGGGAAGCCATGATAGTATTTGTTCTCTAGACCACATTGGGGATGGGTGGTTCTTGGGCCTGGGGGGAGGAGTAGTTTTAAAGATAGAAGGCCAGGCCAGGTCCAGTGGAGTCAAGCCAATGAGATGTGGGAGGGCTGTCCCAGAAAGCCTGAGGACTGCTGGGGAAAGCCTGGAGGCTATGCCAGCCCCTGAAGCTGTCACCCTGCCTGCCACTCTGCCTTAGGTGAAGCTGCGCTGCCGGAAGGGGATCCCCTCCTCCCTCAGAGCCAAGGCCTGGCAGTACCTGTCCAATAGCAAGGAACTCCTGGAGCAGAACCCTGGCAAGTTTGAGGTGTGTCCAGGGTATGGGGACATGTGATACTGTGTGAAGGGTATCATCAGTCCCCCTAGATCCTGAGATAATCCCTGATGTCCCACTGCAGGAGCTGGAACGGGCTCCTGGGGACCCCAAGTGGCTGGATGTGATCGAGAAGGACCTGCACCGCCAATTCCCTTTCCATGAGATGTTTGCCGCTCGAGGAGGGCATGGGTAAGATGGCCTGATCACGTGGGTCAGTCTGTAGAAGGCTCCAGGTGGATACAGGGCTGGGTTGAAAGCTGTTCTTGCCCTCCAGGGCTTCTAGGAAAGTGGTCCTTAATGTATTGAGTGTCAAGCCATATTGAGGGAACTGTCCTGGGAAGGAGATTCTGACTCGGGGCTGGGGGGTTGTTGGAGGGGAGATGGAGAGGCACAACAAGGACTTATTGAAGAGGTTGCATTTGAGTTGGATTTTGAAGGTTAGATGGGAGCAGAGCCAGGGGCAGGTTTTTCCTGGCTGGGGGTTTATATAAGCTGTCTCTGGGATGTGGGGTTGAATGGAGCTGAGGCTGGAAAAGCAGTTTCGGGTCAGATCACCAGAGGGCCTTAAAAATTGTTCTGAGGCACTTGTACTTTTGTTCTATATGCTAGACTTCCCCAAGATGTATATATATCACTCCTTAGTAGTATGCAAGATGGTATTAGGTGACTCTCAGATGCACATTTTTCATCAGTTGGTTCATCTTTTCAGCAAATATTTAACTGAACACCTGCTATCTGCCAGGAACTGGTCTAGTCACAGATGATAGCAGTTAACAAGACAAAAACTCCTGCCCTTATGGGGCTTATTACATTTTAGTGAGGATAGACAATAAGTAAATAAGACAAAGAAGGAAAGTATGTTGTATGTGAAAGGGTGGTAAGTATTAAAGAGGAGTTTAAAGCAAGAAAGGGGAATAGAGAATGTGAATGGAGCTGTGGTTATAATGATCTGACTTGTGTTTTAAAAGGATCATTCTGGCTGCTGTGCTGAGAATAGTATAAGGAGACAAGGACGGAAGCAGAGAGACTTGTTAGAAGACTATTTCCATAATCCAGGAGAGAGAGTATGATAGATATATCAGAATGGTAGCCATGGAACTATGGGGAAAAGTGGTTGGGTTCTGTCTATATTTTGAAAGTAGAGCCAAAAGGATTTGCCAATAGATTAGATGTGGACTGTATGAGAGAGAAAGAGAGAGAGAGAGAGAGAGAGAGAGAGAGAGAGAGAGATTGGAATTAAGGCCGACTCTGAAGGCTTTGGGCCTGAGAAGCTAGACAAATGGAGTTGTTCATATATTGGTGTGGATGAGAAAAGGAGGTTAGAGGGGTATGTTAAGAGCTCAGTTTAGGAATGTGAAGTTTGAAATGCTAATTGGACATCCAGATGGAGATGTCGAGAAAGTTGGATGTATGACCTGTATAAGTCTGGAATTTGGGGAGCAGTTTAAACTGGAGGTAAGCTGGAGATTGAGAGTTATTGGCCTCTAGATGGGACTAAATTTCACCTGTGGGATTGGACGAGCTCATCAAGGCAGCAAGTGTAGATACAAAAGGAAACTCAGAGATTGAGCCCTGCAGCTCTAACATTTCAAGAATGGGAAGATAAGAACGAACCAGCACAGGAAGGAGGAACTAGAGAGGTAGTAGGAGAACCAGGGCAGTGTGATTGCTGGAAGCAAATCGAAGAGGGCTTTTGGGACCAGTTGTATGGAATGCTGCTGATGGGTCAAGTAGAGTCAAGTCTGCAAATTGACCTCTGGACTCAGCACAGTAGAGGTCATTAGTGACCTTGATAAAGGCAGTTTGCACAGGGCAGTAGTGTAGAGCCTGACTGGAGAATGGGAGGAAAGAGATTAAAGACAGCAAGTCTGTATTCTGAAGTTTTGCTGACTAGGTAAAGAGAGAAATGATGTAATGTTTGGAGGGGAAGGGGGGTAGTCAAGAGACTTTTTTTGTAACATAGAGGAAATAACAGATACTGGTATGCCACTGGGAATGATCTAGTAGGGAGAGAAAAACTGATGATGCAGGAGAGGTGGGAGGCTTGCTGGAGTGATGGACTGTGTAGGTGAGAGGGGATGGGACGCAGTACCCAAGTGGAAAAGCTGTGTTTGGCCAGGACCACAGACAGTTCACCCACAGCAACAGGGAGAAAGCAGGGACACAGATGCAGGTAGGTGGGTAAAAATAGCATGGGAGCTTGTGGGAGTTACATGTTTAATAGGTATTAGGTAAAATAACTAGTACATCAAACCTGTCATTTCATGGATGCTATTGCTAAGTAGAGAAAAAATATTAAGTAAATAGTACTGGGGAGGTATGCAGGTAAAACACAAGATCACACTTCAGTGACTGAATTTGGGGATGTAAGAGGTTATTACTTTTTACTTTTTTCTGGGTAAGAAATGAAAGTCTGAGCTACGGAATGGCTGTGGAGGTAGAGAGAAGGAACAGGCATGAATGAAACTCAACATGTAGTGTTGATAAGACTTGATTAGCCACGGGGAGTGATGTAGGGCTCTCTTTTCCAACGTGGGGCTAAGTGAATGGAATTCTCAGACACAGCGATGGGCACCCTCAAGAGGACAGGTCTAGGGCAGAGATTTTATTCTTTGGGATACAGAGACACGAGAAAGGTCTGAGGCACAGCTGGCTTCTCAAGCCTTCACCAAGAACCAGGGCCCAATGGACATGCTGGCAGAGAACTGATGAAATCCACTGAGGCAGATAGGGCAGGCCCTGCTCTGGGGTGATCAAAGAATTCAGACAGTGCTACGGGAGGTCTGATGCTGTGGACAGTGGAAGCTTTCTGAAGAAGGTGACCTTGAAGGTCTATGGGGTGGTGGCAGATGAAGGATGGAGAGAGAGCACATCCTGTGCTGGGGAACGGGTAGGGAGCACATAGGATGTGGAGGCAAGGGTGGAAGGCTGGAGCCTGGAATGCTTTGATGATGGTCTCGGTCATTGGCTTAACCTTGATAGCAGTGCTAGGAAGGTCGGTGGAGGTGCGTGGTGGTGAACCTCTGAGGTTAATCTGGAACTGGATCTAGGAGGGGTCTGGGCTGGGGCTGGTTGTGGGGGGCAGGCTTAGTTTGGGGCAGAGAGCCCCCAACTCCTGTGATTGCCCTCATGGTCTTTCCCAATACCCACAGGCAACAGGACCTGTATCGAATCCTGAAGGCTTACACTATCTACCGGCCCGATGAGGGCTACTGCCAGGCCCAGGCCCCAGTGGCCGCCGTGCTGCTCATGCACATGCCTGCTGAGGTCAGCATACGCTGGTCCTGGTTGGGGAGGGACTGGGAGGACCTTGGCCTACAGTGGTGATGGGGGAGCTCTCTGCTCCCTGTTTCTCAGGCCCCTCCCTCCTTCCTTGTTCTCGCTCTTCTCAGCAAGCTTTTTGGTGCCTGGTGCAGATCTGTGACAAGTACCTCCCCGGTTACTACAGTGCAGGGCTGGTGAGTGTCTGGGGGCTGGGTGCACCCAAGGTTGTGACTTTCTCCTGAGGCTGCAGGGAGGTCCTTGTCCTGCCTCCTCCCTCTCCCCCCCCCATTTTGTCCTTTTGTCCCTCTGCTCTGGGCCTCTCCCACTGAGGTGAGGATCCCCCACTAGGGACAGTCCTACCCCACGGGAGCCACAGTAGGCCTCTTCTCATGGCTCATCCCACTTCCAGGAGGCCATTCAGCTGGACGGAGAAATCTTTTTTGCACTGTTGCGCCGGGCCTCCCCGCTGGCACACCGACACCTGCGGCGGCAACGCATTGACCCCGTGCTCTACATGACAGAATGGTTCATGTGCATCTTTGCCCGCACCCTGCCCTGGGCTTCAGTGCTGCGTGTCTGGGATATGTTCTTCTGTGAAGGTACTTCTGTAGCCATTCAGGCCATGAGGGGGCCGGGGTTTCCATGGTGGCTGCCAGAGAGTGGCCTGCTGCCCGAAGTTACCTCTGGGACCTAGGCTTCCCTGTAAGCAGTCTGGGGGCTGGAGAAACTGGGGCCTAGTCTTGGCTCTGCTATCAGTCCAGAACCTACTGTTCCTCTCAGGAACTCGAAACCCATGGCAGCTCATTTCCCTTCGTGGGACCTCAGTTTCCTCATCTGTACGGTTGGCAGTAGACAGGGATGGGGCCTGTTGAGTCCCTTCTGACTGGGACACACTGAGGTCCCAGCCCTGATCACCCACGCTCTCTTCTTTCTGACCTTGCAGGCGTCAAGATCATCTTCCGCGTGGCCCTGGTGCTGCTGCGTCACACGTTGGGCTCAGTGGAGAAGCTGCGCTCCTGCCAAGGCATGTATGAGACCATGGAGCAGCTGCGCAACCTGCCCCAGCAGTGCATGCAGGAGGACTTCCTGGTGCATGAGGTAGGCCGTGGCCTTAGCACACCCACACCTGCTTCAGCCCATCCCCATCCTCACCTTCACTCCGGTACCCGTTTCTTCTCTGTCTAGGTGACCAACCTCCCAGTGACAGAAGCACTGATTGAGCGAGAGAACACAGCCCAGCTCAAGAAGTGGCGAGAAACCCGGGGGGAGCTGCAGTATCGGCCCTCTCGGCGACTACATGGCTCCCGGGCCATCCATGAGGAGCGTCGGCGGCAGCAGCCACCCCTGGGCCCCTCCTCCAGCCTTCTTAGCCTCCCTGGCCTCAAGAGCCGAGGCTCCCGGGCAGCTGGAGGGGCCCCCTCCCCACCCCCTCCTGTCCGCAGGGCCAGTGCTGGGCCTGCCCCAGGACCTGTGGTCACCGCTGAGGGACTGCATCCATCCCTTCCTTCGCCTACCGGCAACAGCACCCCACTGGGTCCCACCAAGGAGACTCGGAGGCAGGAGAAGGAGCGGCAGAAACAGGAAAAGGAACGTGAGAAGGAGCGGCAGAAACAGGAGAAAGAACGGGAGAAGCAGGAGAAGGAGCGGCAGAAATGGGAAAAAGAGCAGGAGAAGGAGCAACAGAAGCAGGAGAAGGAACGGCAGAAGCAGGAAAAGAAGGCCCAAGGCAGGAAGCTCTCACTGCGTCGAAAGGCAGATGGACCCCCAGGCCCCCAGGATGGTGGGGACAGGTCCTCTGCATCTGAGGCCCGGCAGGATGCTTACTTCTGACCTCTGTCCCCGGGGCTGGACTGCATGGCCTCCCTTGTTTTCCCCTCAGTCAGGAGCAGGCCTGGCCTGGGGTGCTGCCCCGAGCTTCCTGGGCAGACTGTCCTTCTGGGGAAAGTGGTTTGATTTCCCATCTCCTTGCCAGCTGCTGATCCCTACACAGCTGGGACAGTGACAGTGCATGGGGCAGCTGCCTTTCCTCGGGGCAGGTGTGAACAAGTCTGGAGCCCCTTCACCTCCAGTTAGGTCCTGCTGGGGTCTCTGGCACTCCTGCCCCGATTTCCTTTGGGGTTCTTTCCCAGGTGCAGTCCTGATTGGCCTTTTGTCACCTCAGGTGACTTGGCAATGGGAATCAGCAGTTTTCAGATTCTTACACTCTAGTTGCTCCCCTTATCCATGAGTGGAGCTGGGTTCCTTTTTCCCTTCTTCAGCCCTGCTGGTCTCCCCCACTTCCTGGCTGGGGGCCATGGCTCTCCTTGCTCTACTTCTGGACATCTCTATTGTAATTATGTACAGAGCAGCTGGTCGGCCCAGGGTGGGGGTGCTTGCTCTGTCTTCTATCCTTTGGTTCTCCTTCCATAATGTTTTTGCACTCGTTTATTTAAGGGGACATGCACTGGCACAGGAAATGTCCCCCCTTTCCCCACCTACCATTCTCCTTGTTCTCTTTCACCCACCCTCCTCTGTGTTCTCAGGCCTCTCCTGCTTTGTCTTACCAGGGCCCCTGCCTTCCACCTTGTTTCCCCTCCAGCCCCTATCTGGGTAAGGGGTCTTTCCCTGAGCTCCAGGGGGTGGAACCCAATGTTTACATTCTCTTGTCTCTGCTCCCACCCTGTGCGGCGCTTTGAGGAATCAGAAAAGAACCTGCTGTTGTACCTGGGCCTGTCTCCTGCCTTGTTATTTGATAAAGGGAGTTAGAATAAGAACTAGGTGGGGTGGGGGTGGGGAGGAAACAATGGAGCAGGCCAGGATCTGGGTGTCTGCTGAAGCACTCAGCTGGTCTTGGCAGGGAGGGACCTTTTGGCCTTTGGTCCATCTTTCAGTCACTCATCAACAACTGTTGAGCTCCTGCTCCCCCTTTGCCTGGGATCTGCTGCCTCTGTTGTCACTGGACTGGAGTCCTCTACGCACCACCTGCAGCACCCGGATCTCTTTCCCAAAGTGCTCGTGCAACTCCTGGAAGCTGGAGGGGGGACTGAGGGTGGCTAGGAAGCCACAGTCCTCTGGGGGTGCGCTGGGTTCTTGGCCAGCTGCCTGGCACAGCTCCCGGTACTGGGCCTCCAGTGGGGGTAGTAGCGCCACTAGCCGCCTCCAGCTCACCCCAGCCAGTGCCCACAGCCACGCTGCCAGCTCTCCCTGGTTTTCTGCTGCCAGCTTGTAGGTCCGCCCACCTTCTGTGCCCTCAACCCCGGGGGTCAAGATGGTAAAGGCATAGGGTTCTGTGGCCCCGAGGCGTGGCTCCACCTGGCAGTTTTCTAAGAGGATGAGGCCCAGGGGTGTGCTGTCTGCCTGGTGCTCCAGGTAGAAGAGGAGGTTTCCCCGGAGGACAAACCAGCGGCGTTGATAGCTGATATTTCGGGCTCCCTTCTTTAGCAAGATGCCCTCCCGGTCTGGAGCCTGTGTTCTGTATCCGTGGAAGAAACTGAGCACGGACTTTCGGTGCAGTTTCATGGTAGTTCAATCTGGGAGTTAACCCTGGGGGCAGGAGAGAGGAGGGGTGGTCTCCTTATTATCATGGGTACCCCATGCTGCCCTCCTGGGGCTCCAGTAAGGTTCTTCCTGGGCATAGCCTTAGTCTAGTGGGATTCAGGACTGTCCTAAAGAGCTAGAGGTCTTGTCCCCACAGCACAGGGACCCATACCCACCCCCCCCCATCCCCCCCTTTAGCTCTCCCCCTTGGGCCAGCTTACAGATTCTGGGCTGGGGCCGCTGGGGCCCTACTTGCCAGCAGTGGGGCTTTATCCTGAGGCTGTGGTCTGAGAGAGAGGCATTGTTGCCTCTTTCCAGGCCTACCTGAGATCGGGGCACAAGAGGCTTCTAGCCTGGATTCTGGACACAGGAACCACTGTCACCTGTACGGTGATGGCTCTTCCCACCTCTGAAACCAGGAACTCAACCAGGGGACAGGCGTGGGGTAAATGACTTCCCCTGGGTCCTAAAGAGAGCTGGGTTCGGAAAGTGCCCCCAAAGCCAGCTGGGGGCTCCAGGCGGGCCATCGTGGGAACTCGGTCTCTCCTCAGGGAGAAGAGCAAGGCCGCACCTCGGACTAGGAGAGGACAGAACTGGACGCTGACTGGGAAAGCAGGATTCCTATGGAGACCGTGAGGGGCAGAAAGCCCTTGGCCAACCCTGGGGAAAGGTGACTCAACTCTGTAAAGGGAACCGGGCCGAAACCCACTGTCCCACTTCGCCCCTCCATGATGCTGGGCGCCCCTTTAAGTAGTGTGCTTCACTTTCTCCTCAGAGTCTCTAACTGCTGTGGGAGGGAATCTAAACCGCATCCGGCCATCCCTATCGTCTGATCAGGGTCTAGGCGTTCATTTGTGGCCTGTTCTCGCCGTTGTCGCCCCCAAACTGCTCACGTCACCCTAGGGAGGGCGGGGTTGTCTTCCCCGCTCTTGGCGTACTTCCGCCCGCTTTTCCAGTTAGTCATCTAATCGGAGTGAAGCCACTTCCGGCCTTCTCTGGCGCCTTCCGCAGTTCTCTTCCGGGTGATGGCGCCCGGCGCCCCGGATGTAGCCTTGGTGAAAGTCTCTCTTTTTCTTCCCCCACGGCCTCCCGTGGATCCTGAGGTGAGCGCGAGCCGTTGGGGCTGCTCGAATCCCCGCGGCTCTGCCGCCTCTCTTTGTACACTTAGGCTTGTACACTTAGCCCGGGACAGTTGGGGGTCACCCCGCGGAGCTGGGAGTTCAGCGCGGGGCGGAGGGGGTGGCCAGGACGCCAGGTCCTGGGTCCGTCCAGGCCCCGCGGGCTCTGAGGGAGCTGGGGGTGGAGGAGAGGGTGTCAGCCCGCGGATCCCCGTCGCACCCAGGACTGCGGGGGCTAGGGATTGGGGGGGTATGTGGGGGAGCCGCCTTTTTTTCGTCAAGGGTGGGGGTTGCCCGTGGGGAGCCCGTCTGCGCCACCGCCCCTCCGCCCCCGCTCCAGCAACTCTTTTGGATGCCGAACCAAGTCCTGGGGGCCTCCTGGCGGCCAGCTTCCCTTTCGGCCCCTCATTCTGTGCTCCCTCTCCTCCCGAGCTGGATCTAGTGCGTACCGGGTGATTATTTGTTGTGCTGGGGCTCTTCCGCGGTGAGTAGCCTCGCCCACTTCCCTTAATCTGCATCCTTTCTCTCGGCTCAGCCCAGGGAAGGCTCTTCAGTCCAGTCATGCCAAAGAGGAAAGTGACCTTCCAAGGTGTGGGAGATGAGGATGATGAGGATGAAATCAGTGTTCCCAAGAAGAAGGTGAGGGGGCCAGACTCCTGCATTCTTAGGAGGAGTGAGGGGAGAGAAAGAACTAGAAGCCAGAAGAGAAAGAAGGGGGCGGGGGGCAAAGAAAGCAGAGAGGGGGCTAGCTTTTCCATGTTCTCTGGGAAATGGGTTTGGAGAATTTCCAGTTGGGGAAGGTTTTGAAGAAAAATCTACTTGGAGTATTTTGAGGAATAGCCAGTAACCTGCGTCTCTAAACTTGCTGGCCCTTCCTCACAGCCAGTGGATCCTGTGGCTGGGGCAGGGGGTCCTGGGAGCCGCTTCAAAGGCAAACACTCTTTGGACAGTGATGAGGAGGATGATGATGAAGAGGAGGGGTCCAGCAAATATGATATCTTGGCTTCGGAGGATGTGGAAGGTGAGCTAAACCCAAGAATTGATTCTGCTGGAGGAACAGATAGAGCTTTTGGGGATGGGGGGGGTGGCAAGGGCGCGCGCGCGTGCACGTGTGTGTGTGTGTGTGCGTGCGTGCGTGTGTGCGTGTGCGTGTACGCGTGCGTGCACCCAGCACGGGATGCCTGTGTCTTTCATGCAGGTCAGGAAGCAGCCACGCTCCCCAGTGAGGGAGGTGTGCGGATCACACCCTTCAACCTGCAGGAGGAGATGGAGGAAGGCCACTTTGATGCTGATGGCAATTACTTCCTGAACCGGGATGCTCAGATCCGAGACAGCTGGCTAGACAACATTGACTGGGTGTGGCCCAGGGGCTGACGTGGTGGGGGCCTGGAGGCAGCCAGTGCTGGGCTTGGGCCCTGCTCACGGTTTGTAGGAGATAACCACCCCCACTCCTATTTTCACATCACAGGTGAAAATCAGGGAGCGGCCACCTGATCAGCGCCCACCGTCCGACTCAGAGGAAGAGGACAGCCTGGGCCAGACACCAATGAGTGCCCAAGCCCTTCTGGAGGGCCTTCTGGAGCTGCTGTTGCCAAGAGAGACCGTAGCTGGCGCACTGAGGCGTCTGGGGGCCAGAGGAGGAGGCAAAGGGGGCAGCAAAGGGGGTGGGCGGCCCAGTTCCCCCCAGCGCTTGGATCGGCTCTCTGGGTTGGCCGACCAGATGGTGGCCCGGGGTAACCTTGGCGTGTATCAGGAGACAAGGGAACGATTAGCCATGCGGCTGAAGGGGTTGGGGTCCCGGACCCAGGGACCCCCTGAGCCCACACCCCCTCCCTCTCTGGACATGTTTGCTGAAGAAGTGGCAGAGGGGGAGCTGGAGACCCCAACTCCTACGCAGAAGGGAGGTAAGACTGGAGGGCAGAGGAGGAGTGCTGGGGGCAGGGGCAGGGGCCAGGGAACTTGAGGCCCAGATGGCCTTGTCTGTTGTTTTAGAAGCAGAGTTGCCAGGAGATGGTCTGGTGGACGTGATGTGGGAATATAAGTGGGAGAACACAGGGGATGCTGAGCTGTATGGGCCCTTCACCAGCACCCAGATGCAGGTAAGCCCCTTTCTACTTCTTTCTGCCTCCCCCACCGCCCATACCAGTCCTTTCTCAGCTCTTGCTCTCTTTTCCTGCAGACCTGGGTGAACGAAGGCTACTTCGCAGATGGTGTTTATTGCCGGAAGCTGGACCCTCCTGGTGGACAGTTCTACAACTCCAAACGCATTGACTTTGACCTCTATACCTGAGCCTGCTGAGGGCCCGGTTTGGTGGCCCCTTCTTTCCTGAACTCTCTGGAGGAGGCCCCAGCTGCCTCAGGCAGTGAGGACTTGAGGGGCCACTTTTCAGTCAATTTCCCTTTCCCAATAAAAGCCTTTGGTTACATATTAGGGCCTTGGCTGTGCTGATGGCCAGAAGCCAAGGACCCCTTTGGACTCGCCTCATGAGTGTTTTCTCATGAAGTTCCTTCTTGGGAGTTTCTGGTTATTTGAACCACTTCACCTTTGTCACTCTGGGGGCAGAACCAGGGCTGTCAGGTGGCCTCTGGAGTTTCCTCACCATCTAAAAATCCCTTTCACTCACATGCTGTCCTCCGGTATCCTCAGAGGGGACTCCTATTTTGCAGTTGTTAGGTCTTTGGCCTTCAGAACCTCAGAGTCTCTGTCTTTGTAGCCAGTGTAAGGTAGAGCACCAGAAGTGATTTTAGGCCTTGGGGGTTGGGACATCTGTTTGGGGGGAGTAGGAAGCCTGGTATCCACTGACTCCACTGTATTAGACTTCGTAGGGGAAGTGCATACTCAGTGTTGGCACTTGAAAGCCCCTTCAGGGCCACCTGGGCCAACCCCTGAACTGGCACAAAGAGGGCCAGTGCCTCCCTGGAGCTCACACAGCAAATCAGAGAGCTGGCCCAGCCCCAGTGGGTTTCTTTTCCCAGACCTTTCTTCGCACCCTTGAAGTCCTGTGAGGTTTACATTTCCTGAGCTCCCGGTGTGCGTGGGCAAGTGCAGTGAAGGAGCTGAGATAACTGGGTTAGTCCTCTTCCAGGAATTCAGATTCTGGGGGGTGTGGATGGGAGGGAGACTGGTATAATTGTATTGTCTGGACCTAGCACCTCCCACCTCTTGCCAGTGCTGCCTTCTGCCTCTTTCTTGTACCAAACTAGGTTGAACCCTCCACTTTTCTACCTTGGTTGTCCATTGGAGTCTCAGGGGAGCTGTAAAATTACTCCTCAAATTCTAAACGAATTAGTCTAGATAGTGGCTCAGTGGGTGGGGCTTTTTGAAAGCTCCCAGGTGTTTTCCAACGTGTGGACAGGTGGAGAGCCACTGGGCATGACTCAGGACTGAGGTTACACCCGGAGGGGCCACTTCCCAGGTCCTGCTGTGGTGGCAGAGCTGAGCATGTGTGGCCAGGGTTCTGCTGGTCTGAAACAGGATTGCTGAGCACCAGGACCCCAGGTGGAAGGATCCAGGCTTGGAAGTAGGAAAGACGGCAGGTTGGGGATACTTGATGCTCTATGAGGCCTCCAACTTCTGTATTAAATTGGGTCCATGCCGGTGCCAGCCCAGACTTAGTGGTCACTGATTCCAAAATGCCTTCAGTTGTAAGAAGTATTTATGTGTCATTAAGAAAACCCTGCCAATTGCATTTGTAAGATGTCCTTGATTAAAAGGTGCATCTGGATTTCAGAAGTGAAAAGCAATACAGCTGGTCACCTTTATAACCCCAATGACTGACTCATGGGAGGTGTTTACTGTTGGGTGAATAGATGAAAGCCAAGGGGGCGGTTCCCTTGGATGTACCACTGGCACCTCGGGCTCCACACATCCAGGTGTCACCCCATCTACCCCTCACAGTGTCCTCCTGTGATCACCTTCCTGCTGTCAGGCTGTGTAGGCAGAATAATGGTCCCCCGGCGATGTCCATGTCCTCAACAAAATCTGAATATGGGACCACGTGGCAAAAGAGACTTTGCAGATGTGATTAATGACTGAGGTGGACAGGGGGGCGTGCTATCCTGGATTATAGAGGTGGGTGGGCCCAATGTCATCACAAAGGTCCTATAAAGTAAAAGAGCGGAGGGTCAAACAGCTGCTGGCTTCGAAGACGTAAGACCAGGCCATATGCCAAGGAATGCAGTGGCCTGTAGAAGCTGGAGAAGGCAAGAGAACAGTCCTTCCTGAGCTGCTACCAAAAAAAAAAAAAAAAAAAAAAAAAAAAAAAAAAAAAAAAAAAAAAAAGACAGCCCCACTGAGGATTTGAACCCAGTGAAAAGCATTGTGGACTTCTGACCTCCAGAATCCTAATAAAGTTGTGTTATTTCAAGCCACAAAGTTTGTGGTTATTTGTTACAGCCCTGATAGGAAACTAACACATACCCCACCTAGCTGAATGCCTCTCCCCTTCCACAAGCATCACTGGAGTTCTCTTCCCTTTGGCTGTGGCCCTGCTGCAAGCCCCTATCAGCACTTCACTCCTTTGCCGTTCCTAAAACTGTTAGGTGTGTACATAAAATTACTATTTTTTACCAAGAGCTTTACTGAGATGTAATGCACCCATTTGAAGTGTACACAGTTCAGGAGGTTTTTTTTTTTTTTTTTTTTAGAACATTCACAGGGTTGTGCAGCCATCACCACAATTTTAGAACATTTCTGTCAACTGTAGAAGAAACCGCCCCTCTTACTCCCCACCCTCCTCATCCTCCAGTCCCTGGTAACCACTAATCTACTTCCTGTCTCTGTAGAGTTGCCTATTCTGGCCATTTCGTACAAACGGACTCCTACAATTTGTGGTCTTTTGTGTCTTCTGTGTCTACTTAGCCAGTTTTTGAGATTAAGCCATGTAATATGCAATAGTAATCTTTTTTATTGTTGACTATTCCACCATATGAAGGTATGGTATATTACCATTAACTAAACCTCACACTTTCTTTGAGTTTTACTAATTTTTCTCTTCTGTCCCTTGTCTGTTCCAGAATATCTTCTGGGACACCCCTTTACGTTCAGTGATCATGTCTCCTTAACCTCTGGTCTGACAATTCCCCAGAGTTGTTTTTGCTGACTTTTGACAGTTTTGAGGAGAATTGGTTAGGTATGTTGTAAAATATTCCTCAAATTTGGGTGCTTTTTTTGGTCTGGGATTTTTCTCGTGATTGGATTTGAGTTATGGTTTTGGGGAGGGAGACCATGGAGGTGAAGTCCCTAACCTTTTACTGGAAACTTATAATGGCTTCATTTCCCTCGAGATAAAGTTCAAAAGCTTGAAGGTGACTGAGAAGACCTTCCAGGGCCTGGCTCGATGCAGCCCCTCCAGCTCCACATCTGCCTTTGCTTTCCTTCTCCATTTTCTTCCCTGATTCCAGGCTCCAGCCTTATCCCAGAACAGGGCAATTTGATTTCTCCAGGCCTGGCCAGTGATGCCTTTCTCTTCTCTATCTATCTGGGAAAGACCAATTAATAGATTTGTTGTACTTAATTCTAGGTCTCCTTTTTTTTTTTAATGTTTATTTTCTTATTTTGAGAGAGAGAGAGAGAGAGCGTGCGCGCGCGCGCGCACACACACACACACACACACACACACACGGGGGAGGGGCAGAGAGCAAGAGGGAGCCACAGAAACCAAAGCAGGCTCCAGGCTCTAAGCTGTCAGCACAGAGCCCAATGTGGGGCTCGATCTCGTGAACCACGAGATCATGACCTGAGCCGAAGTTGGACACTTGACCAACTGAGCCACCCAGGCACCCCTAGGCCTCCCTTTCCTACAGGCTTCCTAATAATCCACTCCCCACCCCCCTGGTTGCTCATTGTTTCTTCCACTGTGCCCAATAGCACAGATGTCTGGCCCCATACCCAGAGCAGTTTTTGCTGGCCTGTCTCCACCAGTTGGTCTGAGACAGGGGTTCAGTGCTGATGAATGACTAGGGGATGAGCCAAGTCTTTCCCGGTGGGACTCTTTGTCCTTGCTGTCCCAGAAGGGGTGAGGTGTGACCTGGATGGGCAGTGTACAGGTGTCTAGACCCAATAGTCTCTCAGGGAGCAGGGCTGAAGGATCAGTAGGGTCATTTTTACTGAGGCCATGGGCAAATTTACAGGGGGGCTCAAGGTCAAAGCTGCAGATGTCATCCCTGTATCTGGGACACCAGAGCCTTTTGTCTGTGGCAGGCCATTTTCCAGAAGACTGGCAAGAGTGGGAGAAGGCGGGTCCAGGCTCAGGCTGTCACACCCTTCCCTGGGCATCTGGTGGGGTCCTTGGGGAGACAAGGATGGAGGAGGACTTCAAAAAGGAGTTAAAATTGGCAAAGAGTCAGGCTCCACAAAGCCCACGGAGTTTGGGGGTCCCTTAATGCCTTTGACACATCTGTCACCCCTTCCAGACCCACCTGGCTGGTTTGATGCCTCTTTGCAGGGCCACTAATGCCAGGCTCCCAGGCAGTGGGGAGGCCTGAGACTGAGCGGCTTGCCTTCCATTCTGCTCCCAGCCAGGGCCAAGTGGAAGCCCTGGAGATGCCCAGCTCTTCCTGACACTGAGACCCAAGGGGAGTTTCTTTCAAGGGCGGATTTGGAAGCGGATGTTTTGCACGAGGCCCAAGGGTGGATGATGTTTCTTCCGAACTCCACATGGAGGCCAGGCTTGCCCCTTGGTCCTTTCTGGCCATTCCCCGGGTTCAAGGGTATGCCGTTCTGTGGTCGGTTCAAGCGGCCACCAGACCTCCTTTTGCCCCCTCCGGGGGGCCATCCCAGCACACATTTCCCTCTGGCCAAGTGGGGTCTGCTCACCCTGTCCCCACCAGTCTCCCTTGTTCTCCAGGAAGCTTGTCTGGCTCAGCCTGCCCTGTAGATAAGACCCCACCTATCTGTGGAGACACCACACGTGACAAGCCTGTACAACCCACTGTAGATGCTGGCGCTGCCTGAGACTTGCTTGGGTAGCCTCTGGTTTTCCTGTTCTGATGCTATTGTTCTTGCCCTCGTTTTCCTGTCTCCACTGACTATGCTACGCATCTCTGCCCCGCAGCTCCAGGGGCGTCAGTTCCACTACCCTGTTTTGGACACATTTCTCTGTCTCAACTCTTCAACTTGCTTAAATACAATGTCGGCTTTTCCCAGGCTTAAAATGTGGTACTAAACCTATCTGCATTTGAAAGGGCATCTGGCATTTCTTTTCTTTTTCTTTTTCTTTTCATTTCTAATGTTTATTTATTTATTTGGTGGGGGGGGGAGCGCAGACAGAGAGGGAGAGAGAGAATCCCAAAGCAGGCCCCGCGCCAACGTCAGCCACGAGATCACAACCTCGGTTGAAATCAAGAGTCAGATGCTCAACCGACTGAGCCACCCAGGTGCCCCTGGCATTTCTTAAGTATTTAAATAAGTTAGGAATATTATG